GGGGTGATACGATAAGGTTTTGCAAAAGAAAGGATAAGTGTGAGTGTTTGTGTGTGTGTGTGTGTTTGTATGTGTGTGCGTGTGTGTGTGTTTGTATGTGTGTGTGTGTGTATGTGGGTATGTGTGTATGAGTGTGCATGTGCGCCTGTGTGTGTGTATATAGGTGTGTGTATACGTGTGTTTGAGGGTGTGGAAGTGTATGTGTGCTAGGGGAGGTTAAGAAATGCAGTATTACAAAGAACATTATACTGATTTGCCATAATCACAAATAGTCTTGTACTTGTCTGTGTATTAGGGCTGGATTCTGCTCGGTTAATCGAAGGCTTGCAAAGCAGCGGACGGCTTGCGCTAGAGGCTTGCGAGCAGGCTTGTGATTTGCTTTGCCTCCCGCTTGCTACCGGGGGGAACTTCCGGTGAGTTGTGACTCGCGGACAGTCCTGCTGTACTGTATCGTGACACCGCGAACCTTTATGGCTGTGGGCTCAGTACATATTACAGAAGATTCTTTGCGTTGAGAGGCTTGCACCAAAAGTGCAAGATCGTGGGTTTTTTCATAGTTCGGTTGTAAAAAACAAAAAGCTCTATTCGATGCACTTAAAAATTAATACTGGATCGGCTATTCTTACGATGTTAAGGCCTGTTTATTTTTAATGTGCACGAGCCAAGCGCTTCATCGTCGCACGCAAAAGACCTCAGTTTGATTCCCATATGGGGAGAAATTTTTTAATGAGAACCTCCGTCTTTCTGCTGGGGCGTTGTTCCCTCTCAGCCCAGGTTGTCCTTGACATTGGGTTGACGTAGGCCTAGCCCGTTTCCTAAATGTCCTGTATTATGTCACTGTGAGTGTAACACATCTACAAAATAGGTTACATACATACGATACAAAAGCCAATCACAACGACCCCTGGAGTTTTCCATTCTAGGGTAATCTAAGTCAACTTATTCTTATTACTACCAGAAACCTAGGTCTCTGTTACTACAATACCATGCTCCCTCTCACTTATCCATCCACTCGCTTAGCTGATCAACGGTGGGAAGTTAAAAATAACTTCAGCTCTCTACGTCTTGCACCAAAACAAGCCCAGCCTCTCCCTTCCTCCATGGTTCAAAGTTCACACATCGAGCGGTCCTGCGGCCTGCCGCTCGTTGTACAGCGAGACAGCACAAGTCAGCAGGTCATGTTTCGAGCTTGTCCTGGGACAATTCACTAGGCCTAGCGCAAAGCAGTACTGTGTGAATTGTGGGACTTGAGGCTGCGGACGGGATTTGAGACTTGAGGGCTGTCCGCTGCTTTGCAAAGCCTTCGATTATTCGAGCAGACTACAGAGCTACGCCGCGCAGTGACACCGTGGGCAGGATCTCTCACTCTCCCTCTCTCTCTTTTTCTGACGTAAGTGACTTCGCGGATTGCAAGCAGGGTGGGGATGATGAGGGGGTCTGACACGAGTGGCTTCGCAGATTGCTAGTTGCTGTGGACTTGAAGTTTAGACTAGACCAAGGAGGTTACAGTTTGTGCTAGACTCAACTTATCATGCTGGTGATTTGATTTGATGATTTGACCTAGTGATTTGAGGCTTGTGACTTGAACTAGGTGCTTGTACAGCCTTACTGTGTATTAGTTCAACACCCTAATGGAAACAAGCAGGTCATTTAAAAGACAGGCCCTAAACAGTCAATTTTTTCCCAACACCAAACAATCAGACAAAATACTGAGCTGGACCGACAACCCCGGAAAATATGAAGGAATTATGATTATACAGAAGTTTTGGCACCTAAGTGATAACCCAACATCAAAGGATGCTTACCTCCAGCTGATATGTTGATAAGACAGCAGATTTTCTCTACACCCCCCCCCCCCCTTTCACTCACCACACTCCCTCCCCCCCTCCTCCCGCCATCTCATAGTACGGGCATGCCACATGACCATCTGGATTAGCCATGACTATCTCCTATCTTATAAGAAACAGCTCAAGGAGGGAGGTGAAGAAGCAGACAGAGGAGATGATGGGAAGACAACATTAAAGAATGGACTGGCCGTTACTGGAGCATCATACTAAGACAACAGAAATCTGAGAACCACGAAGAGTGAAATAAGCTGGTTATTAAATCTACAGCAGTGCCCCAACAGTCAGCCAGACTATGGGATAGGAAGCTTAACTTCTATATACCCAAAAATTTGAGACGAGTGGCTAAACAGATGGGCCAACGCAGAAACAGGAAGATCTCTCTTCGGGTACATGGACAAACCCAACCCCAAAGACCCTTCGAATCTTTTATGTAGAGCTGATCAGACTTTAATCTTCAGAGCCCGCTCAGGACACTTACACACCAACAAGCACATAAATAGAATTAATCCCATGTGGGAACCCCATTGCAGACACTGTGACTACCATGAGGAGACCGTTAAACATCTTCTCCTTCACTGCCAAAACCTGGCAGTTCTTCGACGCAGGCTCCTACACACACCTTCAGACTTACAAAGCCTGCTCTACTCTGGCATTGACCAGATCACAAGGACATGTGGTTACTTGAGGGAAGCATTGCGCTGCCAAGAGCGAAATGCTCGCAGCTAAAGGGATTTGAAAACAACAACAACAACATATACCCAAAACATGAGGCATTAGGTCAGAGTGGCTTAACTCCTACATACATGTAACACGATGTATGATCTCTTTGAGGACGGGAGGAGATGGGAACACAGGGCAAATGACAGCGTCCAGTTTGTGATCCCTCCACAGCTGGGTAAAGGCCTCCTTCCACAGCTGTGAACGAATAAAGTACAACAAGCTTCAGTCTAAACCCAGTCATGTCCTTGAGATATTTCTAAAACAGGAGAAAGACTGAGTAACTCACTCCAAAAAGAATGGTGTAAATGTATTAATAGCTCAACATTTCATTTCATTTTATTTCAGTTAAATCATCTGTAAAGGTCTCATGGATATAAAGAGTTTTTTAAAGTCACTTGGATCAAATAGAAATTTGTAGAAGCTGGATAGCGCAAATATGTTTTAGCGTGTGTCGGGGTCGGACAGGTGGCAAACACACGTGTGATTATGTGCGTATGTCTGGGGGTTGGAGGGAAGGGAGCCCAAGCGGTCTGGGCGTGGAAGCTCAGTAGAGAAGGAATAGCATGCTGGACTGTGGAATCAAAAGCTGCCGTAGGCTAGGTTTGAAACAACATGTCTTGTTCAGCAAACAAAACGTTTTAAATGAGAGATAACACAAGCATGATTTGAAAGAACCGGCCCTTTTAAACAGTGTTTGCTTGATAGAGTTCAGTGTATTTTCCTGGAGTTTTCCAGTATTTCTTCGGCATCAAAGACACAAAAATGCCTCTCAGTTGAAACCAAACTACTTTTGATTGAGAAAGTTCAATACATTACACATAATTTGGTCGGTGCCTGTAATTATCTACCCAGAAACCTCATATTTGCTATAACAAATACTCGGATTCAATGATATTGAAAGCCAGGCCCGTCATCTTCATTGAATCTGAGTATTCTGAGTTCCTCTGTAATACTGTATTCACAAATTGTATGTAGCTTTTCAAAGGAAGCAATACGAAAGAAATCCGGACAAGTCTCTAAATGAACATAGTTGTTGATCTTTTCTTTAATTGCCTTGATTTTCCTTTACTGAAACACTAGATTACTGACCTGTAAATCTACAACAGTACTGCTATATAAGTTAACCCTATCTGTACGCCCAGGGGTTATTTTGTACCCCCGGGGTTGTATTCTTCACATTTTAGAATACTTCTAGTACGAAGATCTCTTTGAAACTTTCAGTATTTCTCCAAAAATCATTTAGACAGACTGCTATGCGAAGCGTACAGATCGGATTAATGAGTAAATTTGCTCTTTGGAAAGTGGTGGCACAGAGTTCCCCGCGTCGCATGGATACGATAGTAAAACACGACGTAAGGATAGGGTTAAGTGGTGGCACAGAGTTCCCCACGTCGTATGGATAGGGTTAACAGGTGTAACAATATCCAACTTATACATGTCAGTGATCCAGACGTGGCAAAAACAATTCTCATACCACATCCTATACACCCGGTATGCATTATTTTCAAGACCTGTAGCTTATCAGTCTCAGCGGGTGGTTGGCGGGTGCTCTGGTGTGGTTTGCTTCTTCTTTCCTATCAAACATCTATCGTCCTTATCTCCCCCTTCATCTTTTTTATGTTTGTTACTCTCTTGTAACAGCTCTAATCTTCTGGCGCTCATATGACCTTATGCAGTTGCGAGCGCCGTAAAACCTCTACTAAAACTACTAAAGCTTATCAGTCTGTAAGAGGAATAGAAATATAGTTGAACCTGTTCAAGACAACAACCCACTATTGAGGAAAAGAGCGGTCATCTTAGACAAGTGGTCTTGTGAAAATGAAATGGTATAGGTTTAACGCCCCTATCAACACTATTAGGTTATTTAAATTTAAGAGGCGGAACTTCCAAGTTTAATGTCCATTTCCGAAAGGACCGAGCCAAGTGGGAAATTCGTGAAAAGTGCCTCCTTTCCCAAGGACACAACGTCAGACCGAGCTGAGGCTCGAACCTGGGCGGTCTTGTTAGACCGTGTCATATTATGATAAAGAAGAAACACAGGGGGTGGGACGTGGTTGATTGTACAAACGATTGTCTTGAACAGGTGGTCGCTAGAGCAGGTTCAACTGTCATTTCAACCGTCACGAGCACACTAGGTTATTTATAATTTTAGTAAAAGTTTTACGGCACTTTCAACACAATAAGGTCATAAAAGTGGCGAAGATTAGAGGCGTTACAAGAGAGTAACAAACACAAAATAGAAGGAGGGGAGATAAGGACGATACATTTGATAGGAAAGAAGAAGCAAACCACACCAGAGCACCCGCCAACCACTCAGGTTAGAAATCAGAAATAGGGGTATGGGCTCTCACCAAGAAGTCTCCAACGTGACCGAAGTACTCGTCAATAGAGCTGTAAAGACACACAAAATAGATCTTGCCCAATCGTATTATCATTTTTACCAGGGTTCCTTGTGGTCTATGTCTGTAAAGTCTTCTTAAAATAAATAAAAGACTTTTTATGCATGTTGGGGGGGGGGGGGGGAGAGAAGGAAGGGTTTACACAGCTACATTCAATGCTGCACCAACAAATGAATCTACTTAATTTGCATTTGACTATCTTTGAGCAAGTAGCCTACTGTACACTGATGCTTCAAAAGAGATAATAATAGCTTATATAATATATCAAGAAAGTGTCTGTTTATTAAAAAAAGATGATTAGCTCATCGCAAGTCGACCCAGTATTTAAAAACGAATGTAGGATGCGTATCATAAAAACAAAATTGCCCTCTTGAAAATAGAATTTAATAGTTTCCGACCCAACTGGAAGCCACAAATCTAATGTTTTATCTCAGGAAATTCCCTGGAGTGACATATGTTATTGTGACAGTTTTAGTCTCCCTTTTGACAGCTTGGATATTTCAAAACGGTTTCTCCAAATTTTCGCCTAGCTTTGGTCCACTATTCAGAGTCACTTACTCCTACCCATGACTTGGAAATGCTTGTCCACGCCTGGCCTAACCATTATACCAAAGATGACAGTGTTGCACATAGGATCAGAAGCTTTTTAGAAGAGATTCTTTTTTTTTTCTTTTTTTTTTGTCGCTTGCCCATTTCTAGGATATTGACGCCATCTGATTAGTAGAAAAATGTGCGTATGAGAGTGCCCAATAATGTATAACGTACAAAATTGTTATGACATATAACTGTTACATATAGATGTATAAGATAATTATAGATGTTAGTGAAGGATCTGAGAGCAATGATGACCTTAGAAATGACGGTGATGGTGGTGGTAAGTGATGATGTGGGATGGTGCTTACGTTTATAATTATAAGAAAACATGCTTCTGTTATTTGATTGTTGTTGTTGTTTTTTTTAATAATGTTAGCGTTAGTCCTATCTTCCTCTGCTCTGATGAGTCACGAGGGATGTGGGCACCCGCTAGAGATTCAAATCTCTGCCACCGGCACCATAGTCAATTATCACATCTTGTTAACTGATTTTTCCAAATATTAGAGGCAGCGTGGTGAAATGAGGCGTTCTTCAAAATAATGAAAGTCAAGAAATTGGCATTTTCCCACAGGTTTGGGAATTTTCTATTGAATTTTTGGTTTTGGTTTCAACATCTTTCCTGCTCATTAAAGAACTCATTTCTATGTGGATTTTACTGTAAAACGTTGATTAAAGGCAGAAGAAGTGTAAATTTTCAGTTTCCACGGACTCTCAAGCTTAAGAAATAACTCAACTTTGGCACCCATTTTCTCGCTAATTTTACCTCTGAAACCAGATGACCCTCACCTCCTTCAATCACACATATCTCGACTTCTATTCAACATAGATGGATATTATTTTCACCCAAAACAAGGAAAATGGCCAGGCCTTACGATGATATCATCAACTCCGTAAGCTCAAAACTTGACGAGAGCCTGATTCCACTGTGCCATGACACAAATATGCCACAGACAGGCTTGTTATGAAGAGTTCGAACTTGTTCAATCATCAACTGGCGTAGCAGGACGGAAAAGTTTTAAAACCACACTTCCAAATTTTGCCTTCGTTTATTTTGGTCTCTTGTTCAGTTTTGGAAAGTAGGCTACTTACCTGAACCCTATACAAGCTGACAGCATAACTGCTTTGTGTCTGTCCTGTAATGTAAAAAGTAAAGCAAAGCAACCAAAATAGATTTTAAAAATACACGCAAATCAAACTTTGAAATTTTGAGTTCCGGGTACCAACAAGACAGCGAATATGATTTTGCAAACCTTAACTAAATAACAAAAGATTATCTGAAGCTTTCAGTTGAGTTAATTACCTTTCCTCTACCTGGTTTAATAATCATAGCAAAGACAAAAAAATGGAAGTGGCCTAATTCTAGAAGCAGCCTACCATGAAAAAAGGGTCAGAAACTTGTGACATGTATATATATGCATGTGAAGTTTTCCTAAATTTGGAAATATAATTTAGATTTTAGATAACAATGACAAAGATCATTTGCTGGGAATAAAAGAGAGGAGTTGTAGGATACATGACAGAGGCATGATGAATATCCATGAGAATCACAATCCTTTGAGGAATAACTAAAATAAAATTCTTTTTAGAGTTGGCTTTTCAGGCCCACCAAGTACTCCGATAAATTCAGAACTTTCCAATTTTCTTTTGCCCATCACAGAACCCGATCAAATTTGCATAACCCATTTTTCCTTGAATTTTGTTTCTGTCAGGTCAAGAGCAACTTATAATAAATGACTTGGGGGAAAAAACCCAACATTTTTATTTTTGTTTATTAGCGTATATTTGCAACACATATTTAATGGCTACGGTAAGTTTGTTTCAATAACTTAATCAACTGGGATTCTGGCGACTCCAGTTTTTTTCCTCCCAAACTCGTATTTTTTAAGGAATTGTTGGCAGGTCTGGCTTTTAAAGTCTCATTTTTTTTCATGTTTATATTTAGGATAGTATTTGCTTATATCACTTATAGAAAACATTTTTCTAAGAATTGACAGTAAAGGATCACAAATTAAACAGTATTAAGACAAAAATGTGATATAATAACTCTTGAAAAAAAAAACCACATGAGCAAAACAAAAACAAAATAACTTTGTTGGGCAACAAAAATGAATCACTGTACCTCATCACCCACAAGTTTCTTCAAAAGTCTGAAAACCCATGCAGGAATAACAGAGGCATAGACGACAGTTTGTATAGCAGGCTCAACTCGATCGTTCTCTCTGAGGAGAAAAGAGAAATTAAAGGACAAAGTCCTGTCAGTTTCAACATGCCTCAAACGTTATCTTTCATTATAGTTGTTCTGTTCCTATGTCTGGATGAAAATAGTCTGTGTGTGTGTGTGTGTGTACATGTGTGTGTGTGTGCATTAATGTATATTGCATGAGAAAAAAGGAAGTAGTAAGAAAGGTTTTTGAAAAATGGGTATTCCAATGTAAAGTGCATTGAGCTACTTTTTTGGACATGCGCTATATAAATGTTATATATTATTATTATTATTATTATTAAACTAAAGTAGAGAATGAATCTAAAAAGCTAGCACACTCATATTGTTATGACATTATGCAGTTGCGGGCGCCGTAACCGTAAAACTCTTACTAAACTAGACAACTAAAAAGCTAGATA